ATATTTCGGACTAGACTTGACTAGTCCTGACACCGGCACCAAATATTCCTGACTAGACTTGACTAGTCCTGACACCGGCACCAAATATTTCGGACTAGACTTGGCTAGTCCTGCCACCGGCACCAAATATTTCGGACTAGACTTGACTAGTCCTCAGAATATCTCAGACTAGTCCTGACATACATATCAGAAATATTAGACTAGTCCAGTCCTGTCAGTATGTCGCTTTTTAAAACACTGACCAGTCCTGACGGTCACACTCAGTATTTTAGACTAGACAGGACCGCTGTTGCGGACGCTTTGGACTAGACATGTCGCCAGTCCTCTCTTTTTTTTGCTTGCCTGGGTAGTTACGAAACCTATGCGAAAATAGATCCCTACCGCAATCTACTAGACTCTTCTGTTACTCTTCCGTGACTTCGTATTTTCTTATGTAACATTTCGTTTCGGACGAACCTCTTACGGCCCATCACTAGTCTTAGCCAATCAAAAGTTATTTAAAACAATGGCCACGACCATTTAACTCTGAAATGGACAATAGTATTATCTTTCATTGTGTTTTTGTTGAGTTCATGTACTTCAATCATCTTTCAATTCAGATTGTTTCTTTTTAAAGAAAACTTCATTAAACACAACTATTGATTAGCAAACATCAAAATCCATGAATTGCATTTAGAACTGAAAGCTTTTTATTACTTACGTGTACGTAAAACACACTAATGAGAATATCCTATTCGGTATTGTGAAAATGATAAATCGTTTTTATTACAGGAGTTGTGTTGATCGAGTTTTCTCTGTAAGATGACTGCAGTACGAAGGGCAAAGTAAATTGGAAAGCGGCGAACAAGAAAATCACATTTCTATTTTGGAAAATAACCCTAGGAATTTATTTTAAAGTTTCTCGTTCTCAAACTGTTGTCGCTTTAGTAGATTTTTAGCTAAATGTAAGATATTGTCGAAGAAATTAAAACGAGATATTATAAATTTGACCGTGGGTTCTTGGTAAAACATTTTCATAGGAAGCAAATCTATTCAAAATGAGCATTTAAAAAAAACACATCTTATCTGAAGATAATCTCTTTTAGTTTTTCTGTCTTCTTGAAAAACACTGGTCCCAAAATCTAGAATCTATTGATGATATTTTCTCAAACAAAAGAACCATAAAATTTCTTTCAAAATTTATTATTTTTAATAAATATAAAACAGCGGTGAGAATATCTCAAACAATAGACAAATTTCTAACAAATTTTGATATCCAGAAATAAATTTCAAACGGCTTGATAAATTATAATAACAAGGCCTGAACGAATTATATTTAAATACGAATTTCAAAGCTCAAATCATACAAAAAAACATGGAGATATTTAATTTTTCTTCGGCGATATAATTTTCATATGATCCAAAACTGATTTGTATGTTAAATGTTCACAATCTTGATTATTTTTATATCGTACTCGAATTAATGTTGAACTAATATCATCCATATCTGAACTTGATGCATCCAAATCATCATCATTAGCACAAACATAAAATATATTGGAATCAACTTGTACATGTGTTGATCTTACAAAACTATCATCTTGACTTGGACGATAAACTACAGCAACATCATCCATCGGAGGTTTTCTCATTCCATTCATACCATTACAACGATTAAATAAATCAAGACCAGCAACATAAATAACCCGAACAGGTTTTGATAAATTTAATTTTCCATTGATAAACGTTTGAAGGCTGTATGTCACACGTTTAAGATTGATGAATCCAGGAGCTAGTAAAAAAAATGTTCTAATGAGAAAATATATATTCAAAATTTTTAACACATTCGATTTTTGAGTTGAATATTTTCCTACAGAGACCACTTATATTCCATCGATCTGAATTGTTTGAAATATAATTTAGGTGAATTTTTTTAAAAGTATTAGTTGTATGATCTGTGGATGTATTCAATAAGAAAATCAGGTGTTTATTAATATGTTCAGATATACGATAAAATTTATTTTATCTATCGGAAATTTATGTAACTACTGTACGCTCTGCGAAATGGAGATATATAAAGATTATTTCATAGAATTTGAGATTTTTCGAATGTCTGTATAAAATTGATCAGACATAAAAACAAAATACTAGTCGTATACTCACGATGAACTATTTTTATCATTATGTTCTTATGAAATCTAATGTAACAATGGGCTCTTGTTAAGCTAAAAACATGTCAATGAAATAAAATAAATTTTGACTGATACATTATATGTTAATTATACACATATATTTTGTCGAAATGGATATTCCACAAATTTAGATAGATGATCACTATCTTTGTTGAATGAAAATAGTTCTTATTTTATATGAAATATTGAAATACGTATGTTATTCTTTTGATTCAATGATAATATAAAACAAAATCAATTTACTGACCCATACATTCAGCCATATCAACACTCAACCAATGTTGTTGACCAGCTTCTTCAATAGCTTTTCGACACATTTCAATACGATGTTGACCACTAATAAGTTCATTTCTTAATTTACCATGTACATATTCATCATGTGTCGGTGATATATATCCACCAATAACATTAAAATTATGTACTTGTTCTAAGTATTCTTTAGTTCGTACCATATTTGATATATGACAACGATGAACAGGATTCAGAGAACCCGTTTTGATTAATACAACATATTCTTGATTGGTTGGATGAGATTTTAAATTTGAGTAAAGAATTGATAGATCAGTTGTATGTTCAGAATGCATTTGTGAAGTCGAACAAAAAATTATGTAATGAAATATGTTATTCCAACGAGATTTAAATTCTCTGATTCTTGGTTTTTTTTTCTTATTGTTTTTTAAATGACTCACAATGTAATTTTGTAAGATTTTGTCAACAGAATACAAAAATATCTTTGCTTGCCTATCTTATCGTTCTGTTCTTCGCACGTTTCTACATTATGTCATAACATGTATTACCGATCAACTTTGACGAATGACGCAGAGTAGTAACTCAATGACAACTAAAGTATGCATCATTTTTTTTCGAAATCATGGCAATTTTCGACGGTTAACAAAAAAAGAAGTACCACCCCTTCCTTGTTTTTTTTCTTATTCGCATAAAATTTCGACGAAATGAGAATGCATAGCGACAGACTTAATAATTCTCGCGGATATCGTGTTTCATATTTTTAATACCGCAGGGGATTGCGCTAATAGTTTTTTTTTTCAAATGTGGCTTTCGAACATTGTTTAGAAAATTTTTTTTTTGAAACATCTATTCTTCTTTTCTTTAACATGTAGCTGAATAGGACGTTGATGTCTCTATTGGAGGAGATTTTGGACAAGATGCAAAACAAATAAAATGAAAGCTATATAAGTCAATTGAATAACTGATGTCCTATTCGACTATATCAAAATAAAAATCGTCCGGTGTTTTTGATAAATACAGCTAACTGTACAAAACTATCAAAAATAACCTAAATAAGCTGTAGAAGGTTCATTTGTTAACGAAGACATGAATCACAAATATGCTTTCTTGGTTTCTTATTTATAAAGTCATCTTTTTGTCTAAATATTATTTCAGACATTTATTCATACATCTACGTGACACAAACGTCTGTCTTTCAAAGTTGTTCATTAAATGATCGTATGCTTCTTTATTTTATGATAATCGTCGTTTAAATGGATCTGGTGTTAATGATGGCCTCCGAGATGTTATATAGATCTAAGACAAGATCAAATAAATGATATGATCAATAGAGAAGAAAGAACATACCTTGTTAAAAGCAAATAAAAGTTGATCAACCCTTTTAGGAAATAGTTGAATTGAACTTTGATATAATGAACGCATTGGCGCATCATGAGCTTCTTGAAGTTCACTTTTAGTTGGTTTTGTCAAACCTAGAATATATGACATTTATCTTGTAGAATATTTTTTATATCTCGATTATCTATCCATCGGTTAAATTTAAAAAGAGCAAACCAAACAATATCTTTATCTTCACTGTAGGTAAGATCCATTTGTTGACGAGCAATACGGAAATGATAACGGATATTAGAAATAAACATTGTAATATAAATGAAATGAACAAAATTCATAAAGATAGCAAAAGTAGATGGACCAAGCATACAATGAGAATTAAGTAGTTCAGAAGAATTAAATTCACCTAGTAGCATTTCAAAAAGCATTATTATTTTTTTTAAGATTGTTGAACACGATTCTATATGAGACACGAAGAGTAAATAAAATAAAATAACGAAAGCAAAAAAGACAAGATAAACATTTATCAAAAAAAGTAAACAATATCTTTGTCAGCATGATGAAGAGCTCTCGTAACTAATGACACTCGAGAATTTGGATGACAAAATCGAAGAAGTTTGATAGTACTAAAAAAGCAGCAATATCCAAGTGTAAAAATAAGAATATCATCAATATAGGTAGCCAAATGAAGATTGATGTATTTGTAACCATTTGTTTCACGAAAAAAATTTCCAATACGATATGCTTCTAAAGCACGCCATATATAAATACTAACAGTTACTCATGATAATCCAATAATACTCAGTTCGATATAGGACCATAGATGACGAAAATAAGTTTTTCTTGATTTGATTAATGTGTGAATTTCGATTATTGTGAAACATATTATGAACATAAAATAAAGAATTGCACAGATCATATGCAGGAGTGATGTGAAGCCTTGAAAATGAAAATGAAAATTAATTGGTTTGAATAAAGCTGTTGGAAACAATCCTCCCATGACTAATAATTCTACGACTAGTGTTACAGATATAAATTGATCAACATTTGGATTGGGTGTATGAGTGTGGGTGGGTGTGGGGTGTGGGTGGGTGTGGGTGTGGGTGAGTGTGGTTTGTCCTTTATTCTATACCCACACCCACACCCACATCCATATTCACACCCTACCACATCCACACCCACACCCTACCACACCCACATCCACACCCTACCACACTCACACCCACCCTGTTTTAATCTAAAATCTTTCTTTGATGTAGATAATAAACAAAATAAATCAGATCCATTTGAAATTACGAAGCAAAATGATACGAAAATGAAATATATCGATACGATAGATGGAATGTGAAATCGAGATCTTCATACACTCTAACAAGTTGTTAATGATAATGCCTATATTCATAGCTTGATTCAAAGAACAATGGTGAGTGCCATGGAAAGAATGCAATTGAAAGCATAAAAATATGTAACGATTTCCTTCGGCGCTAGATTGATATTCACTATATAGGATTTCATGCTTGTATTTCATTAAAACTTCTTTTTATACGCATTTATAGAGAATCAAATCGGCTATCTTCTGAAAAAGATTCAAGTCTCGACGATAAAATTTAATAGAGAACAGCGTAAGATACAAAATGATTTTTCTATTTTCGTCATCTTTTGGAAGTTGTCAAAGTGCGTATAACTTAATTCCGTATTCTGTCAATGATTATTCAGCATGATCAAACATACTCTATTTTCCTCTCATGTAGTAATTTTATCGCTCAATTTCTTCTTCGTCGCTGTTTATATTTTGCTGGTCTTCTGTTGATTTGGTTTCTTCCCACGTGATCTTCCGTGTATTCACAACTTATAAATGTATTGACATCAGCCTGCCACGATTTGGTGTTCATGACACTATAGTAGTAATAACAGTGCTGCTGACGTTCAACATATCGAACTATTTTGAGCTAACATGAATTTATGCAATCTTTTATCACAAATGAAATGTGTGTGTGTGGGCGATAATTTACTTGATCAGTTACCCCGAAAGATGTAAAATATATCCACTTCAGTTTTCTTTTCATTTTCCAATTTGCTGAGATTTTTTTGTTAAAACAGTATACTAATCTTCATTGCATGAGTTTCTTTCCAATCAACACACAAACAGATATCCTACAAATACAAATGATATATAATTTCAAGACATGACAACGCTATTTTATGTCTCGTTTCAAGCAAAAACTCAGGCTTCTTTCAATCGTTAATCTATGTTAAGAAGGCGATCATTGTCAAACAACGTATAATTTATGTGCTGATATATCATTTGTCTGCAGGAAGAGTATTCAATATTGAATGTTGTTCTTCGCTCAAAACATAGATCAGAGTTTTTGTTTTCTAATTTTTTATAAACGTGAAAGGAAAAATGAGGAAATGATCTCAGAAAAAAAACCTCATTAATGTTGAATCAACGTGATTAGAGGAAAAGATTTCGGCTTATTCTATATATATGCGCTTATGGTTATATAGAGGCTAGTGTATGTATATGATGAATAGAAAGAATAAACAGAAGAATTAAAATGATTCATCTGATGACATGATGTATGTTGATGGGCGAATGATAGAGAAGTATAGTTTACAAAGTCTTTTTTTAATTCTGTGTAATCCAGTATATACCAAATGGTAGAGCAAAACTTCACCAACTTACAGTTAGCATTTAATGATCAAGTTTTTTTCATTGGTGCAAAATTAATCCTACAAAAATGGTCACTTGATGAAGACCTCCATGAATTTACACAATATTTTGAACACCAACGGTTATCTCATTCGCCTTACTGGTATGAGGTGGCCTCTCGGTTTAATCCTTCGACCAACAATGGATTAGAAAAGCTTGAACGGCCGTATAAAAGAGCAGTATACCATGAGAAATAAATTATAACATGATCCATTTCTACAAATCGCAGAATGTTGAGCGATTGGTCAATAGATATTAATAAATATAAAATTATTGTCTTTCGCTACCATAGTGTACTCTGTTTATTAGTAAAAACATAAACTAGGGCATCATATTTCCGTTTTCTCTTTAGAATATCCAACCGAGATCTTTTCCTCTAATTTTGCTGATTCAACGTTAATGAGTTTTTTTCCGAGTTCATTTCCTTACAATATGTCCTCGGAAAAAAACGAGCCCAATTTCATCATTTTTCGGACTAATTTAGCACGTTGAGATCAATTCCCTTATTTTTTTCGAGATCATTTCAGCGTCTTCCAACATGAAAGTTATAGAAAATGATTCTATTTGTGTCTTTTTATCTTCATTAAAAAAATGTCATTTAATAAAGTCTTCAGTCCAATATGAATCAGAATAAAGGAGAGTCGTTTGAATGGTTGCGTGAATATTATCCTTTTCAAGCTTTCATGTAAGCAACATTTTCTTGATAGGAAGAGAAAATAGCTTAGAAGGTTCTATTCTATGAAACAGCAAAAAAAAACAACATCATTAATGCATCACATCATGTTAAAGACTAGTAGCAATACGACAGTCGACGGTGTTCTATCCGTATTCAACTTGTTCAGTGCTTATTATCCTTTGACACTTGTCATTGTGGGTACCATAATCAATCTTCTTACATTTGCCGTTTTCTGTCGATCAACATTTCGCGACACGAACAGACGACCAACACTTCATTATATGCGTGCCATTGCCATCATTGATATTCTTATGTTATATGGTTGGAATCTTGATCATTATCTTTCAACTATACATGGGTTTAGCCTTCAATCTTATTCAGTATCCTCATGCAAGTTTTTTTCATTTCTCAACCATTTTGCATCGCAGGTATCAGCTTGGCTTCGCGTATTCATCACTCTCGATCGATATTTAGCATCAAGCCATTTTCATCGAACCTGGTTCAGTCATTCCAAAAGTGTCCTTATTATTATTGGATCCGTCGTGGCCTTTTTTACTCTATTCAATTTTCATTTCTTTCTATTTGCTTGTTATTACAATAGTGATGGTTCTGTC